ACTTCTCCAGGATAACGAGGATCAGGAAATGGACGAAGAACAAGGTCCGCCTATTCATGGATTATTCAGCGGACGACCAGTGGTAGCCTCTGATTTCCCTTATCCCCTGGAACGTCCCGATCCCTCGATTCTTGTCAACGGGATGAGAGAGACACCCATATTAGTACCTAGCGATCAGCGACAGCAAGAGGAAACTGTGAAAGAGAACAGCGAGGAGAAGGACGACAAGGATTCCAGCGTAAATGTTATACCCTATTTACAGGACTTCGTTCCTTTCCCAGCAAGGAAAAATGATGTCATCTCGGCGACTCTTCACAGAGTGCCGTCCATGCCATCGACCTCGACGCCAATCGCTTACGTCTACACGCCCACAGCGCAAGCCTCTCATCGACTCGATGTAGACGTACGAGACGAAGAAATATCTAAGAACGACCACAACGAACAGAAGCCAGTTTTGCTGCCCTCGCAACAGCCGTCCAGTTCTTCGAGTTCAGCGCCCTCGCCGCAAAATTTCATGGCGCCATTTGTCGCCAGTGTCAGCGCAGAAGCACCATCTAAAAACGGCTGGAGCGTTGTTGTCGTAGAACCGACTGTCAATAGAAAGTCCGATGACAATCACGACTCCTCCGAGGACACGTCCGAAACGGACGAGGCACAGACGGAAAAGAGTGAATTCGATGTCGAGAACTTCAAGCCCCAGTTGTTCGGTGGTTTCAAGCCGATTTATGAGTTTCCTACGGAGGATCTGGATAGGCTGGAACGACGAGAGTCCGCTGATGGGGATCCAGAGATGGGCACGCGTGTCCAGGAATCTGCTGGTTCGACTGTTTGATGAAGGGAATAGGTTCAATGACTAGAAAATACGCTATTTAAATGAGAATACCTTAGTTTCGAGTATTTTGTTAATTGTTATGACGTCCCTGTTGGCATTACCAGGCTTGGCAGACACAGCGAGAGGTTTTCACGGACTTCGTTAATATGTATTTTCTCGTGAACGAGGTTATGCATTCAATATTTATGGCGTTTAAACGGTAATGTTGACTGGAACGATTTTTTGTTTGTTTACCTTTAAAGAAAGAGGGCTAAATATCTCGAAACTTCGTGCGTCGGGTGATTGGGAAGATTTGTTGTCTTCGTGGGGGGATCGAAGTTAACTATACAAGTCTGAATATGTTCAAGTGATTTCGATTGACAAATTGAACTGATTGAATTGAGACAGAAGGATTAAATGCAACGCGGTGCAAGTCATTCACACGAACCGAATATTAAATTTTTAGAAACAAAAATTCATCGATAAAACACTAGAATTTTATCTGATGAAACAGTGAACTTATGTTGATCGTAGTATATACTATATATTTTCTGAAACGTTTATCCGCCACACTTGCACCACTTTGCATGTAATCCTCTTAAATATAATGAAAAATGCTGCAAAACAATCATCGTACCAAGAAATCGCTATATTTATATTAATTTATCTACTTTAATCATAGGTTATCTAATAATTTATAAAATATCATCGATAGAGTACACGTCGTCATATTTTGTACATGTGAATTCATATTTATATGTTACTCCATGCTCGCGCATGAGTCAGTGCGAACGATGCGCAATAAACTATGTATTTTATTGCGAAACTGTTGACGTACACTGAAAGTGTCGTTAGTATGGTTGCACTTATAAGTATTCATGTAATAAATCATTCAGATATTATTTGTTCTGTGTCTGCTTTATTCATACTAATGCCCATTTAAATGCTCCACATTTTGTAATAACAATATTTAATACAAAAAATAAATGCTTTCTTGTTATATACTATCGTTGTTCGAATAACAATATATCTATTTGTAACATAACGAATATCGCGTTTCGTCGTTCGAAACAGTTCAACTCATGTCTTACATAATACTGATGATTGACAAGAATTTAACTAACTACCATACTTCTAAAGAAAACTAGATGTCATATTTAATGATCAATCATGATTTTTTTGTGACATATAAGATATGAAAGATAATACAAATATCTTTGTAATAAATTAATTCCTACGATTGCATTGGATACCAGTCCCGTATAATAAAAAGAACGTGTCAAAATAACACCTACATATTAACTTTTAGAACATAGAATAAATACTCTTATGTAAAAGTGGTCCTTTTTCAATTATCAATTATTATACCTCGTGTATCTGTTCAATTATCCTTAAGGCAAGAAGATCTTTTTAAATAAAATATACATTGAAAAGTCTAATTGGCAGTATAGTAGCTTTAGCATTTACCTCTATGTGTAATCAACGCCTTTTTATCGATTGCCAAACAGCCGTAAATCCAGTTTCAAGACTACGGTACCCGTTTCAACTTCACGCAAGCGGATACGCTTCTGAATTGGCCCACACGAGTCTTTGCTGTCTCTCATTATATCTGCAACCCTTATTTCCGCTCGACCAAGAAATTCTGCAAACATTGCGACAATTGATCGTTTATTTGTTACTATACTGCGACTGATCTGTTCACATACTATTGAAAGAACAATTGAGTATAAACATTATGTGATTTCTGTGTACTAGTCCTTATTTCCTTTGCCTTTACCGTCATTCAGTGAAAAACTTGCCTTTATTTTAAAACAAAATTTACTGATTTGCTAAGTACTTTGATAATTATCCAATTATCCTCACCGTCAGGGCTGTAATAGCCTTTGTCAAATACTGTAATGCACAGCGTATCTTCAAGCAAATCCTTCACTTGAAACTGCATCGATGCATCCCACAAAGGACAATCCGTTCCCGATACGACACCTGTTCTCTCTTCTTGCGAACCCATGCTCACTTTGCAAAATGTATTGCACTTCCCTATAAACATTATTTTGCCAATTTCTTGTCTTCGAAATTACCACATAAGATGAGTCACGGAAAACAAGGTACCCTACGTAAAAATGTCACTTCAAGCTCACATTATAATAGGTACCCAGTCAAATTTGCCCAAGAAATTTATGTTCAATAGATTTGCCTTTTTTTTTTTTAAATTGACTAGAAGTATCCAGAGTTGTCTTGTTATCGTGATTCACCTCCCATTTTATTGTACAGTAAAAAGGAAACTAATACTGTTATATAGAATATGTTATTCGTGCTCTGTGTTAAGAATAACAAGTGCTCGCATATGCAAGAGATAATAGATATGTTGTTAAGTATAAAGCCAGTGTATGGTGGTGATGTTACCAGACTTGCAAATTAAATGTTACAAAATACTATTTACTATTATGTGCAGTTTAATTATAAAGTACAATGCATTATTATTAGTTGTTTTAAGTGTTGCAGAAGGAGACAAGCAAATTAGGTAATAGTCAAATTATTTTCAGTACCTTCTCAAACGTTAAATGGAAAATCGCATGCAAGCAGGATATTTTACCTTTTTTTGGTACCGTAATGTCCTCAGCTTCCACAACTACTAACCGAAGTCTACCCTGTGGTGGTCGCCTGCGAACTATAATCATGCGAGATTTTTTTGTTAGTGAAAATGCATCGTGCAGTTAAATGGTGTAATCATGATAGTAGAAATGTTCGATGATGTTGCTCCACTTGGTAGATCACTCCGGACCGCTTTTTCTAGTTGTATACTTATAAAAAAATGAATCGAAGTTACCAAGAAACCACAAGCAAGCAAGCAAGAAGCACATGCAGAAAGAAAAAACATTTAAAGCATAACACGTCCGCTTACCAGGTGTTGCCTTTAAATTGAAACCTTCGAGTACTGTAACGAGAATTCTGCCGCACGCTCCGAACTGTGCCTGTTCTGTTTACTCACACATATCACATATTATTATATGCCAAATTAGCTATAATTAACTGCCGATAATGACAGACAAATTTTATTGCGTCTTGCAATCGTTTGCAAAATTATTGTTATAATATATAGATACGTACATAACACCAAGTGAATCGTAATTTCACAAACAACAAATACCGAACAAAAATAAAAACAGAACTCACTTGATCTCTGCCTTTGCAGACGAGTCTTCTCGTTCTCCAAGAATTTCTTTCTCGCTTCTGTAATTCTTCTGACCCATAGAGAACATTCGCCTGGCGACGCTGCCAATAATATTATCGATTTCTTCTGATCTCGTAAACGAAGTATTTTGCTCGAGTTTTCTGTACCCTCTCCCCAACTCAAACTACTAACGTTCCCATTGGTATCCGAGTCTCCTAAGAACAATTCGCTTAGAAATATTGGCTGTAAAATAGAAACATTTCAGTTAGCCATAATCGTATTTCTCAAGGTTTCTCGCTATCCGATGCTGCTAGTATACCTTTCTATACATCTTGAATTTTTGATGCTCGTTTCGTTCGAACGAAAACTGTTGTCCGCTGGGAAATGATTTTTTCGCGAGCATTGGTTGGGCGAACAACAGGAAGTCGTTCGTGAGAAATCCAACGAGTTCCTTTCCACTTTTTGCCTGAAAATCATAGGGCGAGCGTTGGACGAACACTGATCACTTATGAAGAATGTATATTTCCTGTATTGGGGCGTACCTTATGAAGTATACCGAAGTGAAGAAGCTTTCGTGGACCTAAGGAATTAGTTAAAGAATTAAAAATAAGTTGCTCTTCCAGACCGTCGCAGGCCACATGCGTTTGCAACCATTCTAATCTATCACTGTTCTCTTTTTCTCTAACTCCCTCGTTCACCTGAGTACAAAATTCTTCCGCCTTGGCCAGTGCCTCTTGAAGATACTGTCTATCGGGATGAACGACCGGTGTGTGTTCTAAAATCTAAAACAATCGCGACAGATGTATGCGGTATGAAATACTTATTTCTTTTTAACTTAAACAGAAATTAACGATACAAAATTGAAGTTTACTTTGCCAATAATAAGAGGGTACTTTGTTATCCTCTGCATGGGTTTTATCAAAAACGAACTTAAAGGCATTCCTTTTGTACGTGGGTCTTGCTGACACGTGTGCGCTACTTCAACAAATTCTGGGACAGTTTCGGTCAATCGTTGAAGATACACAGCGGCAGATATCTGACAACTGCAGAACCTAATGTACGCTGACATTCTGGGTATCTAACAATACATATTGAACATAAGCAAGGAATATAGAATGATGACATAAAAATAAATATAAAAGAACTGCTTACATTCTCGCATAAAATGTCCCCGATCATTCTTACGATTTCTCCTTCGCTGTTATCTCGTCGTATTCTCAGTGTTCTAAAAACATACATATCTTAAGTGAATAAGTCTGATGAATATCGGTAACATTGCTGAAGAAAGTGCTACCTTAAAAAGTTATCGTTACAGGCAATGATATCTCTCCAGTTGACGAATATTTTGTCGACTTCGTCTACAGTTAAAACTAAGCTTTCAATAAGAGGCTTCTCAAATACCTATAAACAGATCACATTCTTTATTGTTTTTGTTAACCAGATACAATTGTAAAGTACAAAAAAATCCTTCGAGGTACCTCGTGGACGAGTCTCATGTCTTCTATATACGCTTGTTCGGTGGTAATAAGTTCTTTTATGTATTCTTGACGTTTTCTTTCCATCGAATCCAGATCAGTCATTGGGTCAGTTGTCGTCTCATTAGCTACGCATAAAGTGTACATAATAATGTTGTGTTATTGTATTTTTATCGCTTCTTATTTTGTACCTTATTCATAGTTGTACCAGAAAATGGAGAATAGTGAGCACAAATTAAAATATAAATTCGAAAGACTTTGTTGTTAATGTGATCAGTTTAGTATTTCAGGCGGAGCTAAATAACAGAGAGAGAGAGAGAGTCGTTGTACACAATACGATACTTTACAACAGACAGATACTTTATTTCAATCAGCAGTTTTGCGAACACGTCTGTATATATATATATGTATATGGATATGTGTACATATGTATAAGAACACGGCGTGTATATGCATATGTGTGAAGATCCAGAGTATATTCACACAAGGTGTGAACAGAAAGTAGTCTGTCGATAAATACACGGTGATCCGAATTTGTTCACACACCCGTACAAGTGACCTTCGCTCGTGAGTAAATCACACACAATTTGAGATTCGACGATACAACAGACAAACAATATGGATATTCTTCTTTTTTTTTTTCGTTTGCAAATAGTAACAATCTTAAGGATTAGCGCTACACAAGTATACCTCGTCTAAGTGTAACCAGTTGCATAACTTGCTTTACACAATTATCAACATGTTTTAGGTAATGATTACAAGATTTACGGGCGCATCTAGGTTATCTAATATTAAGCACACGATGTTTATTTTTTTTTTCTCCATACAACCAGGCATATTTATACACCTTTCTTGCAAAGACTCATATATAGAACGTGTAAAAGGATCGACCAGTGTATAAATATGCTGGCCTGCTGTGCGCTTGGTTCTTGCAGTTATTCGAAACTAGTTGTTCCATCAAGTTCCCGCGATACCTTCAGTGGAATGAACTCTGAATAATGTACGCAAAAACAATCGCTAATTGTATATGTTCGAATAGAAATATCGAAAAATTTCAATGGAAAAATATAACATCGTAGAAAATAATATACGAAGTATTCGGATAATTTACAAATTTTATCCACCATAGTTCGATGAGTGTAACAGAAAGCAATAAATTAATTCGAAGATAATTCTCTAAAACGGTAACAGAATAATTAAGTATCTCAATGTCGAGATTCATAAAAGTACATAAATATAAATAATAATGGTATAATTCAGCGATTAAACGTAATACACAATAAGATACCCTACAATTAAATCATTATAAACTATCATATCCAGGACTAAGTTGATGGAAGAACTGGTTTACGATAATATAACAGTGCTTAACAAATCATTCCCCACTGGTTGTAATAATATCTATCTATAACGTTATGATTGTTATTACTTGATATTTTTAATGATGATTTAGGCTCTATAATAAAAGGCTGCGAAGAAGGAGCACATCATCTTTCATTTTACATTACTAGGTAGACGGATTAATGAAGAACAAAATAATAACTAGATATAGAATAAATAAATAGGAACAACAGATTTGGTTAAACGCATTGAATTTAAAAGAGAGCAACAGTTTCCATTCTCTTCGTTAATGCTATGCAGATTATTACCTATTTTTCACCTGCTAGATGCTTACAATAAAATTTCGAAATCAAACAGAAACTATATATGTATATATATATATATATATATATA